TTAACGATGCTATTTAAACTTTTAACCCTAAATATTTTATTTCCAGTATCTGTTCTGAAAAAATGGAGTATAAGCATTTTCTGGCACGTCAACAGTTGGAATTGATTTTTCTTCTGGTTCAATTTTAACTAACATTTGTTGTCCTGCTCTTGTGTTAATTCCTGTATAACAACTATCTGGCACTTTTTCAAATGAAAAGGCAAAGATAAATTGACGGTCTCTGTAATGTCTAAAACTTACACTCATTGACTGTTGATGAAACATAGGTAAATTAAATGCCTTTCGTAAACGATAAACGCATTCAGTCATTGAACGGCAAGAAAATTCTGGACACAACTTAGAACCTAATTGAATTTGGAACTTTAAGTCTTTATCTTCACTGTAAATTCCATCAACTGCTTCGTCGGATGTTTGCATTGGATGATAATATCCACGAAATTCTTTATCACAATCTTCAAACCCTGTGCTTGGGTCTCCTGCTTTATAAAAAGCAATGAACGATGCTATTAAATTCGAAACAGAACATTATGTGTTTTTGAATACTGGTATGTCGAATATTAGCACCTGCATCTCCCGTAGGGTGCCCACCACCTCTGAGAACCTTTCCTCAACGAGCCAGGGAGCACTGCGCGCTTGGGTCCTCGAGCCATTTTGTTGAGTAAACTCTGCGGCGTGAGATGGAAAAGCTACAGCAGGTTGCAGGGAAGCAGGTTGCCGGCTGTGCCAATGAGGCCCTGTGTTCAAGACACTGTGGCGTACAGTACAACTGGCAGGTCCCCAGCCTGGCATTGACAGAGGACTCCACGTCGCTACTGAGCCTCGGACAGGGTGCATGCTGGGAACTGCGAGGGGTCGACGTGCATTTGGTGGAGGCCCGAAGGCCTAGATAATGCCACCTTACTTTGTCACTCTGAGTTGTACAGTGGCAGCTATCAGACGAGTGGAGTTGCTTGAATTGCTGGTGACCGTGCTCAGGCTGGCCGACTTCGGTGTGCGCTGCCCAACGGAATGCTTGGATCAGAGTTGCTGCAGAGGTCGGTGCGTAAGGCCTGGAGATCATGGCATGTAAGTCACGGAGTTGCTCAGACGCGGAAGGAGAAACTCAGGGGAAGCACCTGCAAGCTCGAAGCTGAGGAGAAATTTGCAAAATCCGAAATGTGGTAATGTCTCGGCCCTGCAGAATCCGATGCTCGGAGAAGCCGCGATCCAACAGGAAGCGCGGGAGGAGCAGGTGCTTCGCAGATTCACCAGGCATTGTGAAGTTGACGTCCCCGGCATGAGGACTTGAGGATATACAGACAAGCCATGCAGAAAAGGGAGGCGGTGCGGCCGTCGAGACTCGACATGCGCAGCGCAGTGCTTCTGCAGCTCCGTGCTGCAGGAGCGGCGCCAAAGCTGCTGCCCTTGGCTGCAAGGGCTTTGGGAGCAAGCGCTGCTCAACTTACCCGTGGACAGCGTGGGATTGTGCAGGTGTCGCCAGTGCATCCACAGTCAGGGGTCTGGCCGAGGCAGCTCCTACACGCCTACATCATGCTGCCGCGACAGATTGACTTCATCGTGCGAAATGTCGGAGAGCACTTGCGCCTTGTTGGTACAATCTGCGGCTTTTTCTGGACTTTGCACTTGCGCTGGAACGCGAAGAGCCATTTCAGGTTCAGGGGACGGCGCTGAACTGTCTCACAGTTTTGGCTGACAGGTTTTCTTCGCGTTGCCCTGAGCCGTCATTGGTGATCTTTGTGTCCAAACATGATCACGGCCCACTGCCGCAATTTGCCACAGACGCAGAGCATAGTCACCTAGCAACAAGTCAATTGAAAACCAACTGCGGAGCATATCGCTACGGTGCCATGGACGTGGTGGAGGACATCTAGCACAGTAAAAGACATATGAGTAAGTGGAGCAAAAGCAGGAGCAGAAACATTAGCAGTAGCGGGAGCAAAAGCAATAGCAAAATCATTTTTAGAGAATGTTTGTATTAATAGAATGCTGAGACTACGCCCGACGTATGAAGAAATAGCAAGGGAAGCAAGAACAAGCAGATTAAAGATAATTCCAGAAAGGCAAAAGCGAGCACAAAAAGGTATACTATTAGATGATGTTGATTTATGATGACTTTGATTTAGGTAAGTATGATAAGAAGGCCATTTTATTTAATGATAGCCCTGATAAGGGAACACGAACAGATGTATTTAAATGAAACGCCAGTATAACAGAAAGTGAAAGCATGAAACACCAGAAGAAGAAGTTAAGCAGGGACAAACAGATGAGAGTTTATCAAGTATAAAGAGTAGTGAAACGGAATGCGAACGCGAACAAGAAAGAAAGAGAAAGAGAGAACCCGAACAACTGCAGAAAAAATCAGTATTGCGAAGAGTTTTTGACGCTATGTTTTGTGAAAGAAATGAGATTCAGAAGGCAACAAAGAGTGAGAAGAAGAAGAAGAATATCAAGTAGAACGTGAAGCATCTATAAGACGCCAAGATAGTGATACTGGTTTACCTATGCATGTTAAGAAAATCTTATGATCCTTCATCATCGTCTTCATCAAGTTCCAGAAGAAGTTCAAACAGATGTGCTTTATTACCTATTGAAGAAGAGGCATTAAGTGAACACATTCACTCCTCACCATCTGAATCAGTTCAAAGTCCGTTCCAAGCGATAGGATAATTGAATATGATGATGAACCAAGTCCGCCTCAAAGCGTTGTTAGTTCTCGTAGAAAGTCAAGAAACAACACATAAGGAGTAGAAGCAGTAGAAATAGTAGAAGAACATTAAGTAGTTGATTATGACTTTATGGGGTGAACTTAATTAACCCCTACTTAAAGAATAATTAACATTTAACAGTAATGAACTCCTGCTTTGTGACAGCAAAAGGTGAAAAATTGACCTCTTTGATGAACTATGGAAGTCACTGGACGAAGACAATTCCGCATGCCAAGAAGAAGTCACACAATGGCAAAAACAATGAAAAATATGACAACATGGTTACTTCTAAGAACACTTTAAAAATAATGGTCAATGCTGTATATGTGAGCAGTGTGGAAGTAAAAATAAGTAGCCATACTAATAAATGTAAAAATATGAACACGAAGAGATGTAAAGAAATTAGTCAAGAAAGGTTGGAAAAAAGAAACGATGGATAGATAGGAAGAAAGATATTGTTTTAAGCGACTTGTATTATGATACACAAAGCGGTTTTGGGAGTGCAAAGGGTTTATATGATGATGCTGTAAAAGTGGGATTGGTAGCAACACTTAATGAAGTTAAAGAGTGGTTGAAAAGTCAGTCAATACAACCGAGAAGTAACAGTTATTCAGCATCGTTTGCTCGTTCTGTTTATTCAGCGGGTTTAGACATGAGATACTGTTAATAAACAACGACGCGTACTTAAAGACAGACCGCCCTAGAATGGTAGGAACTTTGACCATCCTGGATTCTGGTGAGTGCAGCGTTTGCCATAAGCGCAGCTTTAACTGAACTATTGCCTGATGATTGTTGCAATGACTGTAGCGAGATGAGAGCAAAAGAACGAGAAAATACAGCGCATGAGCACTTGAGCAAAAAGAAAGAACAGATACTGTATTTTAAACGAACTAATCATCAAGGTTTAATGAATATGATAGAAACATGGTAACGGAAATAAACCAAATAAAAAACATAGTTGACAGAGGAAACAGTCCATTTAAGAAAGTGTTAACATCACATGCTAGAAGCTGTTACAGGACAATTACCTTTCAATTCTGTATGACGATTAGGAACGTATATGATAAGAAATGGCTAACAGAATTTATTAAAACAGAAATCAAATATACTAACAATGACGTATAGCTACTATAAAATACATATGCTGATGAATGGTTCTGTAAGTTAGTTGTTTGTGAATATCTAAACATAAGTTATGATAAAAGTTGTATTGATAATGATGAATTTAAAAAACTATTTGAATTGTTTTTTTGGTGATTATAGGAATTAAACTTCAATACAAACAACCCCAGCAAATCTTCATAATCAAAATAATTATGAACGTTTGACAAAACGCTATAAGGTCAAACACCACAGAAATCTCTGAATTTGAAAAATCCCTGAAATATTGAATAAGGTAAATGCTAAAAAGGTTACAAAATCTGGAAAATCGGACGAAAATCTGGGAAAACGCATGAAAATCACTGATTTCTGGGTGTGAACTTTGATATAGTGAATAATAAGATGTCTATATCCCGAGAAAACCGTGGAAAAATTAATTTGTCAAAGTCCCTTAAAAATTGAAAAACGAAAATGAATAAGGTATAAAAGAATGAAAATGAATAAGGTAATTTTACCTGAAAAAAACTAAGAAGATGGAACATGTTGTAAAAAAATTGAATACGTGAAATAAATGGCCCTAGAAAAGTTATTGTATGAAATGAAATAGGTGAATAAAATGATTTTGGTGAAAAGTATATGATGATTATTGTAAAATGAATGAGTCGAATTGTGTGATGATGGAAAACGGAGGAGGCGGGCGGGAACCCCTCAATCTCCCTATTTACTTTTTTTGGTGGAGGGGCGGTTTTTGGCGGTTTTCGTTTTCGCAGGTGTCTCGATCGATTGTCTGTCGATGACGAATATCTTCGCACGGGTTCGGAACGTGAAAAGGTTCAGATGTTTACTCGAGGTTCTTGCTCTCATTCTGCTCAAAATTCGCATAAGTTTGCAGCCCTAGCCAGAAACCTTACCACCGTCGCAGCACCAGAAATCTCAAGCAAAACCAAGGGAGACAAGAAGAAACAGCTGAGACTCAAAGGAGACAAGTGGAGACAAGGCAGACAACGACGCTGCGCAGCTCTGCATGATCACTTGACTGGAGCGACAAGAAGACAGAATTCTAGACACCAGAAGATAAACAACGGGCCCCGCCCCTCCCCGGATGTGGAGGCAAAACAGCGAAACTGAGAAGACAAAGCAAGCAAAAATCGAGAGTTTCCGACATCAGGCATGAGAGATGCAACATCGGTTCAGGCTTTGCGGTGTCCTGGGGCACTTTGCGCGGCAGCAGCGTGCAACCGCCACAAGGCCGCCAAGGGGCGTGTTCAGCTAGATTAGGGATGGGTCGGTGGCACTGGAGGGTCGCTGTGGTTGGTCTTCTGGAAGTGGTCGAGTACAGAGTTTTTGGGCTTTTCATTGGTTTTACTATGGGTTTAGAAGCTCAGTCCAAAGTGGCGGCCAGCGATTCGGACTGCATGCAATAGACTGCCTTCGCACAGTCGTCGCCGTCGCTGGCGTTGGTTCTTGTTGTTGCCGCTCGCCACTAGATGGGTGCGCACGGTCACGGCTTCACTAGCCGTCCTGGCCGTGTCCATGCACGCTTAACAGGCTGATTTATTGATAGGGGAGTGTAGGGCAACTTCCTCGATTCCTCGCCTGTGCCTTTGTTGAAAGATTCTAGACAGGGCTCTTGCACGGAGCCAGGCGCCGCCGGTGTTAGGCTGCATGTGGCCAGAAGTTCATGTCATGCCACAAGATGCGAAAGGTCATGCGATTGCGTTCTTGGTCACATTAGGTTTGGGTTACATGGAGACCGAGCAAGGCCTAGCAGAGACCGTTTCGGGATGCATGGTCGAATGATTCTTGTTGTATTGTTGCTGTGGTGGTTGTGGTTGTTGCGATGTTTGCTGGTCTTCTGCTTGTTTTTGTCGCTGCTGTTGCGAAACCATGTCAAGCTCATTGCCACGACAAAGTTCCTTTTTTGGTCTTCGGGTTTCCTACAAGAATGGTGAGGAGTGGGCCCGCAGTTCCGGCCTACGTGGCCAGGCTGGTGCCTGCACCTCTGGTCGAATGGAGGATGAGGTTTCAAGTTGCAAGTTGAGGCAGACAACTGCTATCTTATCGAGAGTTACTAGGTCTGTTGCGGGTTCCAGGGTTCTGGAAGTCAGGCTTCCGATGTTGGCCTTCTGGGGCAGGCGGTCCGTCAAAGGGCTTTATGCTCGTGCCCAAGAGTAAAAATCTCTCGGCTACTCTGCGCCATGATCCTGACGTGCTTCTCCGAACTTGTCACTGCAAGTGAGGCATTTTTGCTTGGCGCAGCCACGCGACTCCTCAACGAGCTCCATAGAAACCTTGATGACGCCCACACGGATGAAACGCCACCGACAAGCCATCTAAAGATTGGTTCAGTCCCATTCAGTCCCATGCTCCAAGCCCAACAAAACCCAAGGACACTTTGCTCAGCCTTGCTCGAAAAGAACGTTGACAGTGTGCCCAGGGTTTGGTGCGAAGGCTCATCGAGTTGCTCGAGATCCTCTCGGCAGAGGACCTGGTTTGCATATTGTGACTTTAAGCATTCTAGGGCTTTTCACTGAACGATTGAACCCCAGTGGAAGCCTTTCAACAGGCGCTGCTGGTATACAAGTATAATCTTGTTGGAAGAAGTGGGCGGGCAGCCTTGTGGCGGCGGTTGTGCGTTGCAGCTGCTTGGTGCGCATGGCTACAGTTTGCGTAGCGTAGCGTTATGAAGGCTGAGCAGCTGGACCCTCAATGCAGCAAACTGCACCAGTTTTGTGGCATTCCGGCCTGGCAGCTTAATTTTAGCCTTGAGAAGGGGTGCACCCGCGCAGACAGCTAGCTGTCCCGAGTGCCTTGCAGGGAAAGTTTTTTTTGAGCACTGCCCAAACTCATTCGACTCAAAGAGGTACAAAACTTCTTCAAACGACTAACACCCCGAAGTTTGGGATCTGTGCGAGGACATGGTTCGCGCATGGGAGGCACTCTCAGCTGACCTGTGCTACAGCAACGCGCCTCTGTAATTTGAGGCTTCCCAGCTGAGGTTGGGCCGAAGTTCCGAGTTGGGGGTTCCTGTAAAAGATTTACGAACAGGATAGAAGCTACTGATCAGACTCCTGTAAAAGAAGATGCGCACCCCGGTAAGTCACGACCTGGTTGCGGGGCCGGCGCTTCCTTGGATGTGTCAGCGTAAAGTGGGCAGCCCCGGAGATGATTTTGCCACACTTTGACACTGCCATGTGTCTGGAGACGTTTACCCGCTTTGCCCCCCCCCCACCCCCCCCCTGTCAGCCTCAGGCGATGACTACTTGTCTGATCGCCTTTCTCACGCCCTCGCAGCCCGAATATTTCCTGTCAGAGGGGAGGCTCACGGGAGCGATTACATGGCCCAGCCGTGCATTTTCTGGAGTTCAAGGATGACCATGCAAGGAGATTTCGAAGGAGTGCTGGTGTGAGTTTGAAGTGAACCGCTTAATTTGAAGCGGAAGTTGAAGGGGGTATAGAGTATGGAATCTGCATGGTTCGGCCGCGTACGCTGTGCCGCGTCGCCATTGGACTTAATGACACTCTGTTAGTGCCAACTGTTGCCAGTTGCATTCATGAGCACAAACCAACAAAACGAGGAGCCCTGAAAAGTGTCGTGCACACCTCCCGGACCCAGTTATGCTGCTGCCTTGCCTCGTACTGGTAGTGATGTGATGTGAACCTGTGCAGTGACTCGGATGGGAGAATGATGGGTAAAGTGATGGGTCAACAGGCGCAGGCAGCGGTCTTGCGACGCGCCCTGGGCGCCGCAGCCAACGGCAGCAGTCTTGCGCCCTTCTTCGAGCTCCTGCAATCCGGGGTGGAGGACTCGCGGCCCGAGCCCATGGAAATTGTTGTTCGAGGTGAATTTAGGTGTGTTGATGAAGGTTACGTGCCAAGGGCCAAGCTCCATCTCCAGCACTTCAAAGAGCTTCGAAGTGTAGCCCAGACTCAAGAAGAGTTTGTCATTGCAGGATCTCCACGCCTGCTGGGATAGCCGTGAAGACGAGCTGAAAGAGGCATTGTGGGCACGTAATGTTCAACCTCCCTTGGCATTTTTCCAAGGTAGCATTGTCAGTCTTGTGAGAAGTCCCCTGCGAGTTGTAAATTTCTTCAGCAGAAAGGTGTAATCATCACTCGAGCAATTGCATCCGATGACGATCGCTTCTCGTCCCTTCGCAGCATGTTTCTTCCTTCCCTTCTAGCCCGATTCTAAACCACACAACCGGGTCCGCTGCTTGCTGCTATCAAGCTTGCGAAGAAAGGATTAGTCGCGTCTTTGGATGCACATGCAGCACTCTCTCTGTCTCTCTTTCTCTTTCTCGTTCTCTTTCTCTTTCTTTCTCTCTCTCTCTCTCTCTCTTTCTCTCTCTCTCTCTCTCTCTCTCTCTTGCTCTCTCTCTCTCTCTCTCTCGCTCTCTCTCTCGCTCTGTGACCATGACCAGCAGGATACCACATGGTCCTGGCTAGCAGTTACAGAGCGACGCAGCAGTTCAGTGAAAGTTTGGTCGTCATGGGGTTATAGGCTCGCGGGCTCCGATTAAGCGATCCTTCAGTCTCTGTGAGATCTCCCGGGCGAAGCAGTATCACTAAAGATTGTGGCAGTCAGGACAGTCAGGCTTTTCTATAGCCCCGGGCATTTGCGAGGCTATGTGCCGCAGCCTGGCGCTCGACCTAGACGACCTCGCCGGTGACAGGCGTGGCGCGTATGCGTCCGACTTAACCTTCCAGGTACCCTAGCAAGGCCCTCGAAGTCCGAATCTGCATTCAACAATCACAAAAGCTGCTGTCGTTGACTTTGTGGGGTCTCAATTAGGGCTGAGGACATGATAGAATGCCGAGGGCAGGGTTGGCAGCAAAAGCTGCTCCCAACAAGCCCCAGCAAGCTTCCTTGACACTGCTGGAATTGGGCTTGTGCTGCAGGTCGTGGAGTTGGCTGCGGCAGATGCGGGCGCACTTTGCCTCGCAGGATGCGAGCAGGGGCTCTGAACAGGGGGGGTTTCGTGATTTCGTCTTCTCAGCAGAGCCCAAACATGCTGGTCTTTGGTAGCTTGATCAACATGTCAACATGTCGAGGCGAAGCGTAGGCTCCCCTAAAAGCTCCAAGTGATATGGACTGATGGACTATCAGTAACCTCAGTCCGCAGGTGCAACCGCAAGATTCCATGGACTGGATCCTCGATACGCAAGCCGTGGAGGACCTCTGCCACTCGGGCTGCCAAGCCTGACATTCAACATGCCATCAGCTCCTCGAAAGCTCAGAGGAAGTTTAGGGAGCGCAAAAGGCACTCCGCGAAAGCATCAAAAGAAAGACGGAAGACGACTGAGCCCAGCTGAGCCCCCTTGACAATCCTTAAAAAGGCCCTGAAGACCCCTGAGAACCCTGAGCCCCCCGAGGTCCAAGGTCCTGCACCTGACAGGCTTAAAGTGGCATGATCTTCGTCGCCACGCCGCGCAGATCTCCAAAAGCGATGGATGAGGACGGCGCTGTAGGAGCTGTAGGAGCTCGTCTGTTTTAGAGGTTGCGGGATCGCGGATATTTCATTTAGGTTTAGCATCCTGACATACAAAGCTTGATTGCGTTAGAGGGGCGTAGACACCAATTTTCTGATTTGTCGGAAGCCTGACGCCTGCACGTTTCAGAACGCGATTGCAAGAGAACAATCTTTGACATCCAGCAGCTTTGTTGTTCGAATCTAGTCCTTCGACTGTTCTGAGTTAGAGATGCCATGCCATGGGGAATCAACAGAACCATCAGAGATGTCATGTATGACCAACAATGTCCCCTCAACCTGAGGCGAAAATTCACTGAGAGCGATCGCGCGGCCTTGGAAAGGGAGCGACAGCGCAATGCAAACAACGGTCAACTTGGAATCTTTGATAATATGCAGGACTGCTTCAAGGGTAACGGCCACATGCCAGGCTTTCTTCAGAACGCTGGTGCAGGCCAATTTGTCGTCGACATTGGCTTGGGCTTTGATGCGAAGGAAACGAGAACGGCGGTGGATCATGGTTTCGTAGCCTTCTCGTTTGAAATGCTTCCTGGAAACATACGGGAGGTTCGGAAGGTTGTTGGAGATGATCCCAGGTTCCAATTCGTGACACTCCAAAAGCAAGGAGAACAATGGGTGGTACCGGACCTGCCACAACCGACTGCTGGTACAGGGTTTGCCTACATCATCAATGCTGCTGTTTCAGACGAGGAGATGACAGTCAAGTTCGCTGAGTCAACTGGGAGGACGTACATTGAATCCATCTATAGTGGTCGTAAAGATGGTATATCTGTACCTGTGCTGCCTTTGCACAAGCTTCTCCCAAACTGGCTCCCCCACATTGACTACCTGAAGATCGACACGCAGGGATTTGAACTAAAGGTGCTTCGCGGATGTCTAGGTGTGCTGCGAGAACGGCGGTGTCGCTACGTCACTTTTGAGTTCAGCCCCTGGCTGATGAAGCGTACTAAGGCTGGAGATCCGCTGGAGTTAATCCGGTTGTTGCCCAGTATGGGGGCGCTTTGCTACACTGCAAGCGCGGCCCGAGAACACCTGAGGCCGGGAGCGCCCTGGCAAGTGGAGGATTGGCTCAAGACGCTGGACGGCGGGAACTTCACCGGTTATGGCAGGCCGGTGCTCCCGAGGGACCCGTATGGGCCCTGGGTGGATATCTTCTGCTACTGGCCGTTTAGTGACACTTCAGGCGCAGAGGCAAACTCTGTTGTGACCTGGGAAATCAACAGAACCATCAGGGACGTCATGGATGACCAGCAATGCCCCATCATCGTGGCGCGAAAGTTCAGTGAGAGCGATCGGGCGGCCCTGGAAAGGGAGCGACAGCGCAATGCAACCAGCGGTCAACTCGGAATCTTCGATGATATGCAGGACTGCTTCAAGGCCACGAGCCACATACCAGGCTTTCTTCAGAACGCTGGTGCAGGCCAGTTTGTCGTCGACATTGGCTTGCGCTTTGATGCACCGGAAACGACAGCGGCGGTGAATAATGGTTTCGTAGTCTTCTCGTTTACCCTGCGTCCTACAAACATAGAGGCGCTTCCTAAGGCTGTGGCAGGTGATCCCAGGTTCCAATTCGTGACACTCCAAAAGCAAGGAGAGCAATGGGTGGTACCGGACCTGCCACAACCGACTGCTGGTGCTGGGTTTGCCTACATCATCAATGCTGGTGTTTCAGACGAGGAGATGACAGCCAAGTTCTCTGATGCAACTGCGAAGTCGTACATCCAATCTATCTATAGTGGTCGTAAAGATGGTGTATCCGTACCTGTGCTGCCTTTGCACAAGCTTCTCCCAAACTGGCTCCCCCACATTGACTACCTGAAGATCGACACACAGGGATTTGAACTAAAGGTGCTTCGCGGATGTCTGGGTGTGCTGCGAGAACGGCGGTGTCGCTACGTCACTTTTGAGTTCAGCCCCTGGCTGATGAAGCGGGCGATGGCTGGAGATCCGCTGGAGTTAATCCAGTTGTTGCCTAGCATGGGGGCGCTTTGCTACACTGCAAGCGCGGCCCGAGGACACCTGAGGCCAGGAGCGCCCTGGCCAGTGGAGGATTGGCTCAAGACGCTGGATGGCGGGAACTTCACCGGTTATGGCAGGCCGGTGCACCTGAATGACCAGTATGGGCCTTTTGTGAATATTTTCTGCTATTGGCCTTACTCGCATTTCGGCGACATTCCGAAGCCAGCGTCCGTGACATCTGCGGACCTCGTGGGCATCACCGTTCAGCCGTCCGTGAGATCTGCAGACCTTGTGAACATGACCGTTCGGCCAGGATTGGTTATGCCCCTGTCGTGGCAATGGCAGATACCGGAGCAGATGATTGCCATCGGCTTTGTTGCGGTGCTGCTCATTGGCCTGTTGCGCTGGCTACGAAAGCACTAAAAAAAGACGGCATTGTATCTAGCGACTCCTTATATCAGAGAATCGTTGTATTGCACTAGAAACTAAGGCAGAGCATAATCTACTGAAGCCTTCAAATAATGCTGAACATTGTATCAAGCTGTGGGGTTACCTAGGTCCACTGTACAGGCTAGGAGCCCGAGATAGCCCGAGCATATTTGAGTTCGAACCTTCGAAGACGAATCTCGATAGGCATTGAAAATGCGATGGTTGTCTTTGTCGACCGACGACGGCAAAGCCCCAAAAGATTATAGTTTGCCATCCCTACTGAGCAGAAACGGACCTTACACGATTCCGGTTCTTTTAGTCCTAGCTTTCGAGACCAGCCGGGTCATCATTCGCGTATGAAATGTGAGATAAGGTTCTGTGATATGATGTTCTCGCAAAACATCGGTAAATTAATAAGCCAACTTAAGCACAGTCACTTCTAAAGTATCTAAATATCCTATATGTTTGCAGATCAACCGATACCAAGCCAGATTCGGAGATTGTTGCAGAAATCGTTTCTCCAAATAATATCTTTGTCCACATCTGAGATTAACATAAACTGCATAAATTCCAGTCTGTTCAAGGAATATACATACATACATGCATACATATATATATATATAAACTCTTACATAGTATGCCATCACCTTGCGTTATGCTGCATGATTCCTGCATTATTGTTATCTCTACTGTATTTCGTTAGATTCGTGGAGGACCTGGGTATGCCAGGTAGACAGCGATGGCTTCTGGTCAAAGCAGTTCTGGCAGCCTGGATTGTTTTTGGGCCCAGGATATTTGGTGCTTAGGCGACTGACGGGACTCGAGGTGTTCTCGCAGCCTGGGGCCGGTGTCTAATGGTGAAGGGGTGCTACGCGGCTTGGAGATCAGGGGTGCCGGGCGTCAATGTCGAGGGAATCTAAAACATGGAGAGCGCTATGATCGTGGCCGTATACTGAGAGTCGAGGACAAGACATCGCCGAGCGGGAGCGTGAGTGGTGAGCTAGGCGCTGTACTCCCAAGACTCGACCTTGGAATGAATAGGGTTCATGGAGCATGCCATCTTTCGATAGGCAGGGGAGGATCACTGCCGCAAGTGAGTGAGGGGATACGGGGCGATTTCACGGATACGGACAGACGACTGTACCAAGGGCACACAGGAATGGCTTAAAGAAGAACTGAAATGGAAGTGGTAAGCCTGGTAAGCATTGCGTGTATTGACTCGAGAAGGATACAAGTGAGTGTGAAGATGATAGGTTGAGCGATGCGACGGGGGACATAGCCGACGCACAGACAATCGAGGTGAGAACTGCTCGATAAAGAGCACAACAAAGCAAGTGCGGATTTCGGTTTCAGAAGTGTGTCACATGAGGGCTAGTACCGTCTGTGGTGCAGCGGTTGGATCGAATGGAGGTTCGTAGGAGCTACCGGGGACGTCTGCGAGATAAACAGTTTTGAACAGCTGCTTCCATCGCTTTCATGAGAATTCAGGTGACTTTGCGCAGAGGACTCTGGCGTTGGAGTGGTCGGGACATGGGTGAAGCAAACAGGAGCCTCGGTGACAAGAAGAGACAATGAACGCATGAACTGGATGGCTGGTCTGCGCTTACTGGGGCGGGGGGGAGTGGTTCTTCGGATCTCTTGATTTTACGCATGATTTCAAATTTGGTCAACAATGGGCAAGCTTCGCTTATTCTGTAGGAGCAGGTGGCCACACATTGACAAAGTAAGCAAATTTATGTCGCGGTTGAATTGTATAACCGAATGACGGAAGCGGAGAATGCAGGGCGCGACAGCTGCATACGATGCGCTCCAGCCTTGCTCATCGCATAGTTCGGGCAACGGGTGAGCGGCGCGCGAGTCGACATGTCATGACACGCGGGTGACCGTTGACAGCGATTGGAGGTTGGACGTGACAGGTATATTCCGCGCGGTCTACACCTTTCATCTGTACACAGACAACCAGTTCTTCGTCATCTAGCCCGAGCGAAAACAGTCGAAGGCGAATGCTTTGTATTAGTTTCCCATCGCCCCGCCGGAATCATCGCAGAGCGGGGGTTTTAACTGGGGTACACGGCTCATGGCTCCGTGGAGGTACCCAGAAGAGCACAGAAGCAACGACGTAACGATGAAGCATGCAGCTTTGCCAAACTCGTGCCTTTACGAAGTGTGTTCTGAGTGAGCTTGCTGCTTTGCAGTGGGCCTAAGAGCCAAAGCCTCGAACGAAGTTGCCAAAGCCCAAATCATCAACGTATCTAGGCCGCCTGAGCCTCTGAACTCTCGATGCCTCCGTCAACCTTCCAAAGCACCGCGGATCAAGAGAGAATGGGAGCCCTGGAGCCCAAGGCCTTTCTCCGCCGCTTTCCTGCACCGCACCTGAGCGCTTGGGCGACCTGCAGATTGGCTTGCTGAAGCCGCACGGAACATCCAGCAGGCGGAATGGTTCTTGGGGCCTTAGGGTGGTTTGAGGGGTGCTGAGCATCAAGAATGTTGAAATACCCTTTTGACTTAAGCCACCCCTGAAGTGCAAAGGGCGCATTAGGGCTCCAGGTTCCGGATGTTAAGTTTAGAGGATGTTTGGGTCTCTGGCCTGCGGTTCCGGTTTGCGCGAGGCACATGCTGCAATTGCTGCGTTACGTGGAGTCCGAAGAACCTTCACGCAGCCAACACGGGCTGTGTCTGGTGTTGCGCCGCAGTGTGCGTGAGCAAAGCAACCGTGCAGGGCTCCGGCAATGGGGCTTTATACACCCCAAGCTGCGCCTAGCCACCCTAGTCCTGCCATGAACAAGCCAATCCACACAGGGCTCAAAGCGTGGGCACGTGCCCGTACAACGGTTTCGAGGGATGCACTCGCGACTAATTTGCTTCATCTCCGAAAGTTCTTGGAACTGCACTGCTTGTCCATATCATATGTACATCGATTACAGATATATATATATATATATATACATATATCTATCTATCTATCATATGGTACCCCCCCAAAGATCCACTTTTTTTGTTGTATAAATTGAGTAATTCTTATACATAGAGGAGAATATTGAGTAACCCGGAACCATCTGCTTAACTTTTGTGAGGCTTTTGCGAGGCAAACACATGACGATAACAAATTGCAAAATTTAAGCTTAATGCAGCCAAGCCCCAAGAACCAAGAACCAAGATGCTCAGGACTCTTGATTCTTGGTTCTTGGTTCCTGGGTCTGCCCCCATTTAACTTAAGTGTTTAAGTGTAGTTTTAAATGCAGCCAAGCCCCAGGAACCAAGAACCAAGATGCTCAGGACTGCATTTAGCTTAATTTTTGAATGTAGTTTCAATGCAGCCAAGCCCGAGGAACCAAGAACTAAAAATTAAGAGTCCTGCGCATCTTGGTTCTTGGTTCTTGGTTCCCGGGGTCCGCCTGCATTTAACATAGGTTTTTAAATGTAGTTTTAAATGCAGCCAAGCCCCAGGAACCAAGAACCAAGAATCAAGAGTCCTGAGCATCTTGGTTCTTGGTTCCTGGGGTCTGCCCGCATTTAACTTACATTCTTAAATGCAAGTTTAACTGCAGGAAAACCCTCAGCCCACCATCCATACTAAAATCTGGGAGTCACGGGCAGTGAAAACTTACACGAAACCATTTACATTTGCACCGTCGGGTTTTCGAGAGTTAGGATTCCAAGATGCCTCGACAAGAGTCCTGGAAAATGTTGGATTCGGGCCGTGTAAATTTACACACTTTCCGTGCAAATTTAAACGGTCTGCTTTGGTAGTCCGAAATTACTCATGAAATCCCATGCGCATGATCTCCGGGTTTGAGGTTTAGGCATTCAAAATATGCATGAGTTGGTACAGAATCTCCCCCTCTGGTGAGGAGGGCCGCCCGAAGGCGTGCGTTACAGAGTCTCGTGGTTAACCAATGCTGTGGGATTGCTGGGAACTGCGTATTCAAGTATTGGGTACATGGTGGCTAGGAAGCGTGGTCCCCTTCATCCCCTGTCCAGCATGGTTACCCTTCGTCCCTCCACAGTGTAAGCGGTTCCACGTGCTACACGAGTCGATGAAGCCCTCACTGTATTACCCCCAGCTGCCGAACTATTCCCTGGTGGAACCTACTGTGGGCTGTTCAGGACGGACTGGTGGTGTGAAACTGTTGGTTGGCCGACTCTCCCCTGCACGACCCCCGTAGATCGATACCCCAGCAAGGTACTTGTTCTGCCGGCTTTTCATGGGGTAAGTATGTCCACAGCTTGCAGTGTGTTTCGGGCGTTAGTCACAGCGGTGGGCTACAAGTTGAGGCAGGCATTTTCCCGGCAGGTTTTAATGGGTAAGTGTGTCCACAGCACGCACGACTTTCGGGGTGGTAGTAGTTGCGGGGTTCATGGGTGGGATGCCTGCTTCCCCGGGTGTTCTTGGGCACTATGGGCTACAGGATTTTCCGGGGTTTTCCAGAATGCTCCGGATGGGGCAGGCATTCCCCTGGCAGCTTTTTGTTGGGATAAGTGTGTCCACAGCTTGCACGACTTTCGGGGTAGTTCATTTTTCCCCCAAATAATTTGCCAGGGGGGGGGCATGGTCGAATTGAAGTCCTGCATCGCAACAAATCTCCTGCAGAAGGAGTACTGTAGTATCCCTTAGGGATGTGTCCTCCTTGAGGGTGGACGCCATGTGGAGCGCTTGTTGCGCCCGGAGCCCTCCCACGTTCCATGTGATTATCTGGAACTGTTGGCAGGTTGGTGCGTGGTGAGACTGTCGTTTGCGGTGTGTGCCATGGCGGGGGTGTCAAAGCTCCCGGCGGATGGAGCTCCAGTGTTTTTTCACCTCTTCTTCATCCAGGCGGAGTAGCTTCGCGATGGCTGGCAGGTCCACCCAGCCAGAACCAGCTGGTGTGGAGGTGGTGTGTGGCTGTGCCGTTGCCGAGCTGCGATCTTCTCCCCTCTGAGCCAAACCGTTCCAGTGGCGAACTCGGCCTCCACGTTGCCGAGCTGTGCTCCCAAGTCCAGCGCCAGGCGTTTGGTCCTCCCTGCTAGGCGGGCTTTTGCTCGTCGGGCAGGGCTCTGGGAGGTTGCGAGCCAGAGGCGTTGGGGTTGTCCATCGGGCTTGGTCCCCAGTATGACGTTGGAGTCTCTCACCTTTTTCAGGGCTTGCTGGACCTTGTGGGTCGTGGCCGTGCGGGAGCGGGATGATGGCGTAGCCGCGGCGTACTCCCGGCACAAACGCATCCTTCATGTTTATCTCGAGCTGTAGCGTGGCCGCTGCTTGCTGTGCATGTTGCAGTGTTTCAGCTGCTGGGGTATCTTCCTTCCATCCTCCCATGATAAGCGCTGGGCGTCTTCCCTCCTCTGAGGGCTCTGCGGACGAGGGGGCATTGCTTCCTCCCCCTTTTCCACTCTGCCATTGTCCGAATTTCCCCTCCAGGAGGGCGAGGCGGGTGTTGATGGCCAGGTTGTCGTTAGTGAGCGTGTTCAGGACGTCTTTCTGGTGTTGCTGGGCTTCTTCGATCTTTTGTAGGGTTTCTCCCTGGGCCAAGTGTTTGTCTGTGAGCTCTTGTAGTAGTCGTAGGGTGTTTGCCAACTGGGAGCTCACGCACTGTTCCACTTGCTCCACTCTTTCGACTGCTCCCTTGACCTCGACCATGAGTTCGGTTTTTAGCTCTCTTCGCTCCACACGTAGTTCGCCCTTGATGACCTCCCGGATCGCGTCAATGGTGAGGCCTTCTCCCTCTGTCATCTTCCTCTTGGGGGACGCGTTCGCGATGCCGTCGCCTGGCAGGATGGCTACCACAAGGAGCCGCAGGGGTGCGGGTTTAGGGCGTGGCGCACAGCACACAGCACACAGCACACACAGCACAGCACAGCACAGCACGAAGCACGATACACAGCACACAGTGCACAGCGCACAGCCCACAGCACACAGCACACCGCACACCGCGCACAGCAAGCCGCACACCGCACACGGCACACGGCACACGGCACACGGCACACCGCACACAAGTAAAAGAACAGCAGAAAAAGGAGAGATAGAGAGAGCAAGAGAGAGAGAGAGAGAGAGAGAGAGAGAGAGAGAGAGAGAGAGAGAGAGAGAGAGAGAGAGAGAGAGAGAGAGAGAGAGAGAGAGAGAGAGAGAGAGAGAGAGAGAGAGAGAGAGAGAGAGAGAGAGAGAGAGAGAGAGCCATTTTGGCTCAAGCCGCGAGTGCTCAAGAGGCAACCCCATCGGCCGAGCCTCCAACCAAAAGTAGAAGCAAAACAAGGGGCAGCCAGACAGCCCCCCCGAGCCGCCATTGCAACCACACCTACCTGATCAAAACACCTACGCGTCTACGCCTTCCTCGCCGGGGAGGGTGAGTACGTCACGGGTGTTGCTGTTCGGTGACCTCTGCTGAGCCACCCTTCTCAACTCCTACCACCTCTAACCGATCAAGGACTACCCCCACCCCGCCAGGGAGATCCACTTGTACCTGATCGGGCAAACCACCTGGACACGCAGATGGAAAATGTACAAGACTGAGCTTGGCACCTGCATCTCCAAGAAGATGAAATTGAAATAAGAGAAGCACGACGACATTGCAAGGCAACCCCCACCCCAAAGCTGCTCAGAGTACATTTGGGCCTGAGCACAGGGACTGCAGGACGAGAGTGCGCTAACAAAAGACTTCCTCCCAGTCCCGGCTGAACACGTCACTGGCGACCACTGCTGATTCAAGCAGTGCTAGGCTTGCCATCCTTCCTTCTCCACTATTAGTATTTGATATACAACACAGAAAGAGATTTAAACCTCAAGCCCTTCAGGAATATAAGGTTCCACTCCTACAGGCAATGCCTAAATCTTAAACCCGAAACCTGTAAACCCTGTAAAATTTAAACACTATAGGGATAACCCCGTGAGAGTTTTAGAGATAAACCCTGAAAACAACCCTAAACCTTTAAACCTTCCAGGGTTTCATGGTTTGCAGATAGGGTTTTTAGAGAATAAGCCCGCAGTGGAGCGGAGGGAAGGGGAGGGTGGGGGGGTGTTCAGGGGTCCTAGCTGTGTGGAAGATCCCTGGTACCCTCCCCCGACACCCCTGTTTATAGCGAAAGAAAGAGAGAGAGAGAGAGAGAGAGAGAGAGAGAGAGAGAGAGAGAGAGAGAGAGAGAGAGAGAGAGAGAGAGAGAGAGAGAGAGAGAGAGAGAGATAGAGATAGAGAGAGAGAGAGAGAGAGAGAAGAGAGATGGGAGGGAGGTAGAGTAGAGGGAAGAGGGAGAGGTAGAGGGAAGAGGGAGAGGGAGAGATGAGAGGGGCTAAGTGGCGGAGGGAGTGGAGGGGAGAGAGGGAGAGAGCGAGAGAGCGAAGAGAAGCGAGAGAGCGAAGAGCCGAGACGAAGAGAGCGAGAGAGCGAGAGAGCGAGAGAGCGAGAGAGCGAGAGAGCGAGAGAGCGAGAGAGCGAGAGAGCGAGAGAGCGAGAGAGCGAGAGAGCGAGAGAGCGATAGCGCCGCGTCCGCAACAAAAACAAAGCCTCCCTCCGAAACAGCACTCTTACCCTGCAACTGTTGCCACCTTTGAAGATACGAATTTGGGATCCTTGGTTGCTCTCTAGGGAGGGTGCTGGGTTTTGGCAAGGTTGGAGGGATGAAGGCAGTGGGGGTTCAAGAGCGCTTGCGGGGGTTGAGGGAAGATTTTTTGGCCAGGAGCAAGAACTTATCCGAGACATTGCAGGGCTTGCAAGGAAATGATTACTCCTTTCATGCAAGCTTCAAAAGGCTTAAGGCGCGAATCCAACGTCTTATCTTTTCGCCTCCGTAGACCGGTCTCTTGGGCTGCCATTTTGTAATGCCTGCAGCCCTGCTCTACTTCGAGGTCATGGAGTTGACGGGGCATTGCTTTGGGGATTTTGTCTGCGGAAGAGTTTCGGGGCCGCGAGCCAGTCATTTCCAGAGGCCAGGCCCCGCAGGAAAAGGGTTTAGGTGCAGCAAGCCCTCCAGCCAAAGGCCAGCGACGAGTTGGAGTCGAAGCTGAGACAGGCAGGAGGGCGCTAGAGCCCGCAAGTTGACTGTGCCCCGGTGACAGACAACCTTATGCCATATGCAAGCCCACCGATTCCAAGCGCCCAAAAACCATCAAAAACCCTGTCCCAAACTGAACGCCCAGGGCTTAGAGACTCTCGGAAAGTCCGAGTTCTTAGAGTGCCAAAGTTCAAGAAAAGCAGCAACCTCCCCCGCCCGCCCAAACCCAAATCCAAATTCATTTGCCAAAATGAGGCCCGGCTGCAGCTGGAGCAGCGCGGCCAGGTGCGGCTTACGTCGAATCAAGTTATATATGGTAGGGGGAGCCAAGCCCAGGATGAAGTGACGTTTGGCAATTTCTTGATGTGCACGTAGCTGGGGTTCGACCGCGTCATGAATCCCATGTCCTGAGTCGAAATCGTACAAGTCCGAGAGACCATAGAGACACAAAGCACTCCACGCAAAGGCCATTGCGGATCTGCAAAGCCAATGCGCAGCAGATACCGCGACAATCGAGTGCCTCCAGGCGCGAGAAGCCTTAGAGTTGCGTGCTGACGCACCCTCAAATCTTGAGCCGAAGCCTCTCTGTGATCCTGGTTCACAGCCTTCTCAGCAAGTGCTCATGAGGCTCCAACCTGGCCTATATTCTAGTATGCTCTAAACGTTCGTGTTTACGACCCAGCATGCAACAGGTTCACGAAAATGCTTAAGGCGCGAGTTCAACGTCTTATTTTTTCGCCTCCGTAGACCGGTCCGCTCTTGGGCTGCCATTTTGTAATGAAGCCTGCTCTACTTAATCTATTTAGAAGGGTTCGGGATCGAGGCCGCGCTAAGTGCGGTTAGCCTGGAAAACCCAGAGTGTAGAACACTCGCCGAGCCATTCCGCATCCGAGAATCCGAGAAGCCCAAGTTGGGCACAGGCGTCAGCGGAGATTTCGCTCCAAACTGCGCGCCAAAGTTGGCAAACTACGAGCCAAAGGGAAGTTCCCTTCCGCCATCGTTGCTTTCCTGGCAGGGCACCACTCCAGGCCTTATCATCAGCTCATGGGCAAGCAAGGCCAGCAGAAATGGACAGGAAGAGGACGAGGATGGCAGCAAGATGGCAGCTGGGGATATAAGTCTGGCTCATGGTCTGCATGGAAAGGTGGACAATGGCTGAAGTCTGCTCCATGTCCTTGCCCGCGTCTTCGATGGCCTGCACTTCCTGATAACTGCGGAATGTCATAGCTTGTGTCGTCGAACGCGATCCTCCCTCGCAACTTCTGCAATGGGAGGAGACGTCTTCAAGGGCTTGCAAAAAGCCCTCAACCAGCATCGGAAATTGGAAAGTCGAGCGCGTCGCCTTCAAGAAGAGCGTACCAAGAGAATGAGCCAATGGCAGGCATACCAACAGCAGTTGAGGGATGCTTTCCTCAGCCAGCATCAGACCTATCAGAAAGATCTGGAGCTCATCGATGGAGAACTTCAGCAAGTCCGAGATCAACGTCAGAAAGCGATGGGGATGATCGCCACAATGTCCGAGAAAGGAGTAGATCCACCCGAGAAGCCAAGAGCGACGGCAAGCAATACACGAACTCGGAGATTGCTGCGTGGGAGGCATTCCTGAAGCCACCTGGTCAAGCGATGGAAAGAGATCAGGATGCGATGCTCCTGCGGCAGCTTGTCGAAGGCAGCAGCTCTCCAGGTGCCCTTCAACGCCAGGTGCAACAGCTCAGGCGAGAATCGGAGGCCAAGGACGAGATCCAGACCGGAGGAGATGCACTGGCCGAGGAGGTTGCCACTCCAGTGAGGCGACCTACTGGATCCATGCCCATGACGCCTGTCAAGACGAGTGCCGCCGCAGCCATGCCTACTGCTTGCCTACAGGACCCTTACATGCTCGCCCTGGACCAGACATAAGACTAGGGCAGTACTCGAGCGCATAGGGTGATGCGAAAAAATCAAGTCTTGTAAGTCTCGGGGACGCGAGCATACTGTGAGCAAATATCCGCATTTTCCCATGATCCACGAGACTCACAAGCACATAAGGTCCTATATGATGCTCGTCCAAAGCAACTGGGTATCACATCTTTACTACGAAAAAGTATTTGTCTCAGGATGTTTCAGGCGGTTGTACGTCTCGGAAGCAGAAATGATATAGCATGCTACGTCAACTGTGCTGTCTTTCTTAATATAGCAAACGTTCAGGGCAGTTTAGAGTTCAAGGAGTAAGCCAGAAGTTTAGGGGGGGTTTCGAGTTCGAGGGGAAGCAAGAAGTTTTTTGGATAGTTTACGGTAACATTTTTTCAGGGTGCTTCAGGTGGTTGTACGCCGCGTAAGAAAAAATCACAGACATGATCTCATATAGCATGCTACGGGAACTGTGCTGTTTTTCTTCATATAACGAAAGTTTGGGATGGTTTTGAGTTGAAGGGGTGCGTAAGCCAGCAGGCTTTGTTTAGATACTTTACTGAAATAATTTTGTTTTTTTCAGAATGTTTCAGGTGGTTGTACGCCTCGTAAGGAGAAACGATATAGCATGCTAAGGGAACTGTGCTGTCTATTGCAAGTTTCTAAAACGGTGGATCTTTGGGGGGGGGTAGCATATATATATATATATATATACATATACAACGCTACTGAACAAGTCAGGTCCTGAACAAGTCAGGTCAGGCCGAGCGAGACCATTCTCGTTGAGCTTGTGATCGTTCGTCCGAACTCAGGGTGCACGATTTCGCGTCATGACATGTAAAACATGTACACATGAAG